ATTAAACAGTCCCTCCCTTTCAGTGCTCAGAGGATGTGACGCAAAAGATCTTGCTCCAGAAAGAAAACACATTTTTACTATCTTCAGTGCATCAGTTCAGCACCCCTGATGGGCTCAGCTCTGTGTTGAGTTCAGGTTTCAGCAGTTGCAGCGACAGCAACACTCAGGAGCCTCACTGTAGAACTGAGTCCTGGTAAATCACCCCCACATCAGCTGAACCAGATGTCCTGACTCTTGAATTAACTGAGAGCTAAGTTTCTGTCCTCCCAAAACTGTCTGCTCCTCTAAATTCTCACCTGGTCTTCAGTCTTGTTCAGCTCAGCTCCCCCCAACATCTGCAGCTCGCAGGTCTCACTCTCAAGCAAAATTTTATATCCACACTTTTATATCCACACGAATCTGACATAGCAGCTCAGAATTAAGTGTGCAGCATAATATTGCAAACATCTGGGATTTTATTTTTTACTGCAAGATCAGTTCACTTCCCACAGCTAACATGTTGTGCTGAAGTTAGATTTAAATTTATAGTTCACATTATTCTGCCTGAACTTCAGAACACCAAGGAAGAATGCCCTCTTCCTGCTTCCCGCTTCTAGAGGAGGAAGAATGCCCTCTTTCTGCTTCCCACAGCTAGAGGAGGAAGATGCCCTCTTCCAGCTTCCCACAGCTGGAGGAGGACCCTGTTGGCTATTCATCATTCTCACTAATTTTTGCATTAGAACAAACTATTGAAGACATGAAAATTCACCCTGAGGTTTCATTGCTTACCACTCTCCCACCCAAGTGAAGGCTTGATTTTGCCCCAACACTTGCTCCAGTTGAAAAGCCAGTAAGCTGCAGCTAGTCCGTGCTTATCATCATCCTGCCTCCATCTAGAAACTTTGATTGAATAACCACTTTTGGTCTAGGATTTTTTTGTGTATGTATAAATGTAGCATGTGAACAAATGCAGGGTTGGGTGGAAGATGACCACAGAAGGTTGGCAGTGTGTTGTGTCCTTCGAGACACTGACACGCTGCAGTGTATCTGGCATGGAGCATCTCAAGGAGACGAATGGAGTGCACAGTGTCCCCATCAGCTGCCAGTACCTGGAGATGGGGGAGGAGGATACCAGGAGAGGCAGAGGAGAGGAGAGGGTGTTCAGGGGGCACCTGATGGAGTGGTGAATCCAGCCAAGTGTCCCTGTAACAAGAATGGAAAAGGAAGGCCAAGACTGGGTACTATGGGATCTTCTTGACATGCTCTCTGTTGCCAGTGGCAACCATGCACGTGGCAAGCAAGTCCAGTTGTGCCTCTGCCACATGCTGCCAAGAGTCGCATCCTCTGAGAACAGCAGTGACACCTGCAGAGGTCACACTGATATGGCTCTCTGCTTTCACTTCTTAGTACATGCCAAGGCCTGGCAGGTTTCTAGCACATTCCTCTTGACTTTCCATGATGGTGGGATAGATCTTCAGCACTAGAGGATCTGCAGTGTAGGCCTCCTCACTACAGGGGACTGTCTGAAATAAACTCTGAAGTGTTGTTTTCATTTAATGTTTTCTGAGCAATTAGTGAGAATACTACAGTGTTCATGCCAACTGTGTTAGTTAGGGTTTCTATTGCTGTGAAGACACACCATGACCACAGCAACTCTTATAAAGGAAAACATTTAAACTACCATATCAACCTAAATTTGGGTAAATCACAACTAAAAAAAAAAAAAAAAAAAAAAAAAAACAGGTTCACTAGGAATTGTGTCTTACAGATTTTGATTGGCCTTCCCTGCTAGCAAGATGTCTCCCTGTAGGAGAGAAGAGGCAGGCATAGGTATACAAACCTGGCATGCTTTGTTGTACTTGGTAACCACACTGCAATTCCTAGCAGCTTAGACAGGCCAGCTCAGCCAGACTGGGGCAGTGTGGTGATTTGAATGATAAATGTCCCTTATCTGGGGTATTTGAATACTTGGTCCCCTGGTAATGATGCTTTTAGGAGGAAGGGTGCCACTGGTGGCGGGATTTGAGAGTTTAAAGACAAATGCTATCGCCAGTTTGCTGTCTGCTTCCTGCTTGTGGTTCAAGATGTGAGCTCTCCGGTTTCTATTCCTGCCACCATGCCTGCTGCTTGCTGCCATGATGAACTCTTTTTTTTTTTCTGGAAGTATAAGCCCAAATACACCCTTCCTTCTGTAGGCTGCCGTGGTCATGGTGTTTTTACCACAGCAATAGAAAAGTAGGCAGTTCAGGGAGTCACGGTAGAGGCGTTGTTGGTGCCTTTCTTTAAGCTCGGTCTGGCACAGTTTCTGTGTGCTTGTACTTGAAGAGGCATGAGGTTTGCTTGATGGCCACATCTGTCATGTGCTGTGTCCAGAGCCTGGCCTCTACTTGGCTCGTAAAACTTACTGAGGAACCTGTGCATCAAATCCTGCAGTAGAACTGACAGGCGGTATTTCCAGCTGCTCTCTTCCTGTCTCAGTTCTAGAACCTCCTACTTCTCCTGTTTAGTTCCCATCATTTTCCTTTCACTGAGGCCACATGTTTTTCTCCTGATTGGCAACTTGAACCTGGAGAGGCCTCTTCCTCTGTGCAGGCCCATAAACTGGAAGGAAGCCTTTTCTTGCTTCAGCTTGACTTTGTTCCAGGCATATCTGAGAAAGGCATAACACAGAAGCTAGTGGGAGCCTCATCTCTGGGCCCGGGATGGAGAAGTGTCCTCACTGAGCTATCTGCCCCATCTCTGGCATTGTCAGGAACCTCCAGAGCCCTGTTCTATGGGTCCGGGATGCACAGGTCTCTGTGCCTCCAGAGCCGGTTGCTTTGTCTGTAGCCTTCTGTGCCAGGAAGCCCAAGCTAACCCCTGTCTTAGTCAGTTCTCTACTGCTGTGAAGAGACAGCATGGTCAAGTCAGCTCTTATTTAACTGGGGGCCTGTCTAGTTTCCATTGTCACCATGGAGAGGAGTGTGGCTGTATTGGGTAGGTGCGGAAGCAGTAGCTGAGTTCTGTACCCTGATCCACAGGCAGAAAGTGAGAGACTGGGCCTGCTTGGGTTTTTGAAATGTCAAAGTCTACCCCCAGTAAATGATACACTTCCTTCTACGAGGCCATGTCTCCTAATTCTTGTAATCATTTAAAACAATTCCACTCCCTGGTGACTAAACATTCAAATATATGAGCCTACAGGGGCCATTCTTTGTTGTTGTTGTTTGGTTTTTTGAGATATGGTTTCTGTGTATAGCTGTCCCAGCTGTCCTGGAATTCACTATGTAGGCCAGGCTAGCCTCGAACTCACAGAGGGCACCATTCTTATTCAAACCACCACGCCCACCCTCTGTTCGGCCTGCTGCAGTAAAGTACTATGTCATGGCTCTCGGTGGTGGTCATTGGGTATCTGTTACTGAATTCATTCGTGACCATCCTCGTGGTTGCTGCAGGGCTATGGCAGTAGTGGTCTCCTTTGGTAAAAGGCTGGATATGCCTTGGTGAGGCTTACCAGAGAAGATCCGCTTGTATTGTACAGCTGGACCAACAATAAGGGGCTTTCGTCCTTGCTTCCACTGGAGCCCCGCTGTGTGCTGGCTAGTGTTTTGTCAGTATAGTCACTTGGAGAAGAGGGAACCTTAGTTGAGAAAATGTTCCTACCATATTGGCCCGTGGGCAAGTCTGTGAGGCATCTTCTTGATGGATGCTTGATGTGTGAGGACCCAGCTCACTGGGGCCAGTACCACCCCTGTCCAGGCGATCCTGGATGGCATAAGAATCAGAGGGAGCAGGTGTGAGAGACAAGCCAGTAAGCAGCACTCTTTTTTTTTTTAACTTTCTCTTTATTTATTCTGTGTGTCTTCCACATTATGCATTTGAATTATGAATCTCGGTCCCATCATTTCCTGTCTCTTCATAACAACCCTCTGCCCTTGCAACCTTCCCCCCCCCAAAAAAAAAGTAATAAAATAAAATGAAACTTAAGGGAAAAAGAAAGGAAAGGAAAAAATCCCATCATGGAAGCTGCAGTGTGACAGTGAGTCACGCAGTAACCCTTTTGTCGATATATCTTTATGTGCAAGTGTTCGTTGCAAAGAGTCATTGGTCTGGTTCGAGACCTCTGGTTTCTGCTACCCCATCATTACTGGGCCCTCACTGGGACTCCTCTTAAATATCCTGTTGTTGCCCGGTGTCCTGGAGATCCTGCAGCTCCAGCAGATAGTAGATGGGATGGATGTTGGGGTGGGCCTGGTTCTGGGACTGGATAGTTGCAGGGTTGGCCAGCCCACCAGCTCTCCTGTCTTCACCACCAGAGTGAGCTTTCCAGCATTGCTCTTGCTAGTTCACTCCTTGCAGCCATGAGCAAGGGGTGGGGCTGGTTTTCCTGCTTTCACACCCTCAGGGTCAGCTCTCCCACACCTACACCATCAGGGCCAGCTAGACTGTGTTGCCCAGGTGAGGTGTAGGGGCCACTCTCCCAAGTGCTGCAGCTGGTGAGGGGCAGGGACAGCTCTCGTGCTCTTGTGACTTCGGAGCCAGCTCTCCCACCTGCCCCAGGCAGCAAGAGGTGGGAGCAGAGAGTGGGCATCTCTTCCCCACCACACCACCATCTGGCAAATGAGGGGCAGAGCTGGATCTCCCGTGCTCACATTCTTGGAGCAGTTCACCTGCACCCCCTGTCAATAGGGTCAGCTCTTCCACAGCCTCCAGGTTCCTGCCGTGGTTATTCTGGATGCTGAACTCTAAGCTGTAAGATGAAATAAACCCTTTATTCCCCAGGTTACTTTTGGTCATAGCATTTTATTATAGCGATAGAAACCATAACTCAGATACCTTCCAATGCTTCCTTTATGTAGTCAGAAAACACACACATTCACAGCAAGCTCATTAACTCATTTCTGATTTCTGCTCTAGGTTCTATGGTCCCCTTTTCGATGCGCATTCTGCATGCAGAACTGCAGCAGTATCTGGAGAACCCACAGGAGTCCTTGGACCGACTACATAGGGTCAAGACGGTCTGCAGTAAGGTAACTGTCACGGTGTTTAACCCGTTTCGTCTCAGCGCTCAGAACATGTCGTTCTCCACCTGTCCCCAGGGAGACCGTCTCACTGTCTCACTTCTTCCGCACACACGAGGTCCTGGAATAGCATGGCCGTGGTATTCATGCCTAAAGTGATTGGGGGGACTCGAGGGTGATTTGGGGCAGAGTCCGCGTCCTGAAATCCCTTTCCTTAGTTCACAGCGGACACATTTTTCATTGGAGACCACACAGGTGAGCACTATCAGCCTCCCTGAGAGTGAGCCAGGCCACTCCTGTGCCAAGCAGAGCACTGTAACCGTGTGGGATCTTCAGAATGACCCTGGGAGGTGACAGCCATCATTCCCTGGACCAATGCCAAAGGCCAGAAGGCTGTGGATACTTGTCTAATTGTGTCCAACTACAAAGTAATTTTTGAATCACAGGACCTCAAACTGTCATTTCCAATTGGTTTTCTCTCTGGAGAAGTGTGAAGCTCGGCAGCTTTGCCATCCACACATTGTGGGAAACCCCTCCCTCAGAAGCCTCACCTCGGGTTAAGAGTGGCGTTGCTGTCCAGCCCTCCTCACAGTGTTTCTGGTAGGACCTGGTAGGAATGGCAGCATGGTATAGTTTCTGAGAAAAGTATAGTAATATTTGTTAAGCCTCTTTTCACCTCCTGACTTTTCTCATAAAAGTACTGTGGTGTCCCGGGTCATGACGTTAGTCTCCCTGCAGAGTGCAGGAGGGGTGAGAGCCTGCCAGCTTGTGCAGAGACCCTTACTCGAGTGGGACAGGGATTCAGGCACCTGGCACCCTTGACTGTGTATCCACTTCACTGGCCATGCCGTCACATAGAAGGTAGAGCTAGGCATGGTGGCACACGTAATCCCAGGACTCAGGAGGCTGAGTGGACAAAGCACAAGTTCTTAGCCAGACTGGGTGTGAAAACACTACCCAAAAAAATTACAAAAGCCAGACCTGCTTGCTCGCTTACATGTAACCAGCTCTTCTCGCGGTAACTCATCTTCTATCGTAAGCACAATCAAAGCAGGCATGGTGACACACACCTGCACTTGCCGTTACTCAGGAAAGGACCTGGGAAGGAAGAAGCTAGGCAGGAGGATTGCATCAAAACCAGCCTTGGCTACATAGCAAAACCCCAGACTTGGGACTAGTGAGATACTCAGCAGGTTTGCCATGAAGCTTGACAGCCTGGTCACCAAGGCAGAGAGGGGAGTCGTCCTCGTTACCTCATTCTGAGCATCTGTAATCCAGTTTGCCCGATGAGTTCTTCCTGTGTGGAATACACACCAAGGAATGGACGGAGTCTGTGTGTGCTCAGATGTGCCTGTCAGGGCCATGTTCTTAAGTGGCATCCAGTTTTATCAGGACATTACTTTCCACAAAGGAGTCCCATGTTGGTTTTGTCTATTGTCTTTGAGTCGTTTGGTGAACTCACGTGTTTGGTTTAAGTGGAATCAAATGTGCCATGCTGCTGTGACTCAGAATTTTATGGCTGTCACTGTCTGCAGACAGATGTCTATCTTCTGCTTTCTACGCCTCTCTTTCTGGTTCTGCAGGCTGTCTGTGCCTCCGGGTGTCACCAGAGCTTTGCAAGCCAATTGGGAAAGAACTCAATAGAGACATTCCTAAAAGCCGTTTGCATAAATAGGTGTAATCCATAAACACTGAAGTCCAATTAGCCTGGGGTTAATTTCATTTGCCAATACAGATGAGCCACCCCCTCCCCAAAACCCCAGGTATATTTGGCTTTGGGGTGCCAGGTGGAAAGGCTTCCTGAGCTGCAGCTGGAGTAGGCAGCAGATGAGGCTCTGTCTCCTGCGCTCTGAAAAGGAATCGCGTGGGATGTGATGTGGCCCGCTTCTCTACTGATGGCTCACAAGACAGCGTGAGAGCTCTGTTCCAGGAAGGGTTGGCGTCTTTGCTAAAAGGGGTTTCTGACAGATGGGCGCACTTGGGTTTGCTGCTTTACAGTAGACACGGTTAGAAATGCAGGACAACAGCCACCACTGTCCTCTCACTGGGCTCGGGCAGGCCAGCTGTCAGCACCCTGATGGCGTCTGACGCTGCCTGCTGCTGGCGCTCCCCAGGGCAGATGCTTTCCTTGCTCCACTTTTCTGCCTTTCGGCAGACAGCAGATTAATTGTGACGTACTCAGAGGAGATGGGGCACTCGGCAAGCAGATAAACAGCCAGAAAGAATGGGCAAGGACCACTTCGTCCATCTGGGCTACAGCCACACTCCCTGCCTTCCAGGCCTCACACTTGGCCAGCCCCATTCCTGCCCAGAGCAAATTACCCTCAGTGAAGGACCCATGCCTCCCTCTGTGTGGGTTTGCAGTTTCACTGCCCTGGTGGCGCTCACAGTGCAAATGTACTCCAGAAACCTCTGAATGCCACCATTACAAATCCCAGGGCGTGAATAATAAAGCCACTGGGCACTCCACCAGGGTGGAATCTTGATAGACCAGGCATGGGCCCCAAGACTGTGAAGGGCACATGGGAACCTAGAGAAAAGCAGACTTTCCAGCTAGGAAATGTCTTTCATTCAACCCTCTTTGCCTTTCTGTCCTACATCCCCTCAACCTGATATAAGTGGAAAGAAAAGCACTCCTCCCCCTTTTTTAAGGCGTTAAGGTCCTAGAGGCTTTGTGAGAGCGTTCTGGAGTCACACCGACTGGGTGGAAGCATCCAGCTGTTCATCCGGACCTGGCCTGGTCTGTGTGCTGAGCGATGTGGCTTGTGACCTGGACTAGTGAGCACTCGGTGCTGGAGCAGTGGAGATGTGGAATAATTCAACAGGAACACCCTGAAAACCCTCTCCCCTCCAGGAAGCCTATGTTCTAGAGGGCCCACCGGTGCCATTGATAAAGGCAGGAAGGCTTCCCTCTTAACTGTAAAACTCAAAGCAGGGAGCTGGATCCGTTTATATAGGTTACAGGTTGCCATCTTAAATACTGTGGCAGGCAAGTGGTAGTAGCTGTAGACGGATTCAGGCAGGGTGCCAGAGTCACTCAGGCATCATGGCCCTGGGATGCACAGCTTTCCTAAGCTGTGGGTGCTTAGTGGTAGTTGTTGCATTGGGGAACAGAGTCTGTTATCCAGATTAGTCCAGAATGTGTGCAGGGGATCTGGAAGAGCCCCTCTGCTTTACCGAGCCTCCTTATCAGAGACGCAGCCAAGTGAGGATGCCTCTCCCCCATCCTCCTGCTTCCTCCTGCCGCCTGCCCCCTCAGTTGCCTCTTCCCACAACTGAAGCTGACTGCAGTGGTGAGCTCGTGGGACCCCAGCGAGGGATGCATTTCATGACATGCAGATCGAATGAGCTGAAATTCCGGAGTGTTTCGGCTCACTGCCCCTCCTGGGAAGCCCTAAATTGAAGTCAGCGCAAGGTAACCTTGACTCAGCTGCACGCTTGTGATCAGCTGCTGCCTGGCAAATTACTCTGTGGCTTAAAGCACTTCCTTTAATTTTCCATTAGTGGGTTAATTGCACCTGTTGATGGGTTCGGGCGCTGTATTTCCATGCAAATGCCGCCTCCTTTATCAACCCTTTGCCCACCTCTGACACCTGTACGCTCAGGTCCTCCTGACTCCCACCTGGGGAGCAAGCAGGCCATGCTGCTGCCCTCCAGTTTTCTTGCTGTTGCTGCAGGTGACTGAATTCCATTCACTCCTGAATGCCACTCAGCTGTGTGAAGATGCCACATGTGCTCTGTCCACTCCTCTGTGGGTGGGCAGAGCTACAGGAGCATGGTACCTTTGGGGCAGACAGGCTCCATTCCCTTTGGCTGTAGAATTGTGATACATTACCACTCTACTGAAAATACAGGAGACAGAAACTTCTTTAAGGAAACAAGCTTACTCAGGGTCAGCGGTGAAGGAGGCCAGACTCTTTAGATGTACAATGGGTGGGACAGGCTATAAGGGAGGTGGATCTGGGCTGCAAAGAGAGGGCCATACTGGGCGAAGGCCCTCTCTCCAGAGGCCTTTTCCTCATAAGTGTTCTCCTGCATCTTGATCTGAGGCCAGCGTCTGCATTTGCTCCCCGGGTCACGACAGTTACTTCTCTGTGAGTTGGTTCATATGAACTAAGGAGAACAGGGGGCCTTACTGAGTCTGCAAAAGAGGAGAGATCAGATGCGCAGAGGAGGCAAAAGTAAATGAATTGAGGGGAAAGATGGAGAGGACAGGCAAACCAGAGTGTCCGTCCTGCCCCCCCCCCCATGTCACTCCTTCATAACAAGGTTGTCGTTCTGGGCATCTCCGCCTGCACTGTTCAGTTGGTGGCTGTGTCTTCAGGTTCTGTAAAGGACTCCCACTCTTGCTTTTCCCAATGGTTGTGATCATGGAATTAGGGCAGGGACCATCCTGGGAAGCCACTCCGAGACGCCAGTGATAAAATCAGAAAAGGGACCTTCTTTAACCACTGTGACCCATAGCAGCAGCCCGGGTGCTCTGTGGCTGTGGGCCGCTGGGTATCACCTGGGGCCAGAGTCTCAGGGTTCACCATTTATTGCTTTAGATTGCCACCAAAAACATTCCCTACTTCAGGGAGAGCTTCAGTCCTTTGAAGGTCATCGGGGGGATCTGTTGGTGGTGGCTCTTGTCTTTCAGAACTGGGACTGTCACTCCATTCCAGCCTGCTCTGTGAGGCAGTAACAACTCGGTCAGGTTTTCTGTCTGGACCACCTCCAGGACAGTAGTAGCTCCAGCCTGGAGTGCGCTGCCAGCTTGCTCCCCCACACCTGTCAAGGGCTACTGTTCGTTCATGAGAGGCCCCCCATTCCTTGCTTGCATGTCCTCATGCAGCACCTGACTCCCTACCCAAAAAGCAGGAAGAACCCCAGAATCACCTTGGGGGCCCAGTGTCACCTCTACCCAGTTCTGTTTATCCAGCCTTTGAACCGTGTGCCCTGAAGTGAGAAGGTGGCCCTTGGTTTAAGTATTATACCTCGGCAAGTCGGCTGGAATCTGCCATTCTTAAGGATGAATAGGTTCTGGGCATGCTTTAGGGGAACCCTGTCCTCCATTTCTTCTCCCTGACAGTTCCTGGTGGAAGGAGCCAGCCTAGGGTCAGGTGTCTGGAGAAGCCACACCCACAGGCCTCAGTGTCCTCCCCAGCATCTCAGGCAGCCTGCTGAGACAGCTCCCAGAAGTGGCAGAGACCCACTTATTATTCAGCAGTCAGCAAGGGTTAGCCTCATTGCTCCCAGATCACAAACTGTCAAAAAAAAGACCACAGGAAAAATGAGGCAATGGAACAGTTTTTATTTTTTTTTTTAATTTTTTTGTTATGGCTTCATGTAATTAATTTTCCCTTGGCATTTATGAAGTTTACAAAACCCTGGAAGTGCATTCTCCATGGAGCCCCATACTCTGTAATGCAGATGAGAAAAAATGTGTTGGGGCTTCCAGATAGGGAAATAGAGATTAGAGATGATAAGCTTAAGTCATCCTGAACCTGAAGCCACATCTCACTGTGTCCAGTGTCACCGCTGTGACTGTGCCTCGCTGTGCGCGAGGACATGGAGGGCTGGTGGAAAAGGAACCGTTTGCGTTCTGAACTGACAGTGTCCATCTGTAGAACGGATTCCCTGTAGTCTACACACAGCTTCTTGAGGCAAGAGTGCGGTGTGCACCCCTTCTGCCCAGACGCCCCACGCATCCACGTGGACACACGCACATTCTCCTTTGTGTGTACTCCACTGTGTGCAGCGCCTGGTCCTGTGTGGTCACTGTTCTGTGCAGTGCCTGTCCCTGTGTGGTCACTGTTCTGTGCAGCGCCTGGCCCTGTGTGGTCACTCTGTTCTGTGCAGCACCTGGTCCTGTGTGGTCACTCTGCCTCCGATCCTCCTCATCTTTTATGGGGACTTTGAGAGCCACAGCCCACCCGTCTCTTCCCTTGCCCCTTCCTACAGATGATTGACTGCTTACACTTCTCAAGGCCACAGGATGCTCCAAGGTGATCATCCAAACATCTCAAAGATCTCAGTGCAGAGGCCATCCTGCTTCACCTCAGACCGGCTATCCCTTGGCCCTACCAACTCTACTTTCTCTTGCCAACCACAGATAGAGGAGTGCGTCCCCCTTTTCTGAGCTCAGACCTCCAGCTGCTCCAGCCTGTCATGGCACCATCCTCCGGCTGAGCTCTGTCCTCTGCTTTCTCAGTTCCCATCACCAGGGGCACTCCTGTCTGTCTGTCACTGGCTTCCAGGCTGCAAGCCCCTTGTCTCTGCAGTGGCAGATTACAGACCCAGGGCTGGATCTCTGAAGGATGGTAGAGCCTAGACTTGCCCACATGGCCAAGATGACACCCAGATACCCAAACGCAGCCGCTCCCACCCCTCCTGGAGCTGTTCTGCCCCCATCTTCTGCACATGGCACCCAAGGGACCTCCTTTTTTGGGCTTGTCCCACAGTTTCCAACCATATGCCAGCAGGACCTCAGCTGAGGACTGCTCTGGCCTTGAAGAGTCTTCTAAGCCATTAACTCTTTACAAGGTGTTAGACCAGAACTGGACCAGGGAGAGCGCACAAGCAACAAAATCCTAACTACTTGGGTAGCTGAGGGAAGAGGACCCCGTAAGCTCAAAACCAGCCTGGGCCATATTGTAAGACCTGTTTTGAGGGAGGGGAATAAAGGCCCTCCCCTCCCTTTTTTCATTACAGAGTAAGCTATCATACTAACCTGGGGCCATAGCTTCTGTCTCCTTTTGGAGAGCTCTGCCCTGGATTAGAAGAGAGTCCACTCCTGTGGCACTGCTTGCCAGCACCCTTGGCTGGACCTCCCCGCAGCTTATATTGGGCTATGTCGTTCACAGCATCAACACCAGTCCTTGGTGATTATGGGTGTGGGGAGGGACAGGAGAGAGGAAGATGGGGCTTCAGGGTGAAGAAGAAAATGGGCCTGCACAGCTTTAGATCCTGTCTCACCCAGACTAGGTGGCTACTCTGGGCCGTGGCCACAATGTACTCTTGATTTACATTTGATAAAACCGAAAGAAATCTCTCACCTTCAGGTTTATCTACTCAAATTCAGTAGAAATGCCAGTTGATACCATTCTGCCGCCCACGCTTTCCCAGGGACCTCTGCCTTCAGAGCATGTTCCAAAACAGTGTGGTGCATTGCGCCTGCTGGGAGGGATCCAGTTGATGATACTTGTTCTGCATCTGGGACAACACAGACCTGTGGGTGGGGGGTCACAAGGTCAACCTTTCCCTGCAGTACCCGCATCTCCTAAGTGGTGCAGACATGGCCCCTGAGGCTCAGAAACCTCTCATGTCTGCAGTCAGAACCTTCCCACCGATACTCAAGCCCCTTAGTGGCCTGGGACACTGCAGACCCTGGAGCAGTCCCACTCGCCAGACCCACAGGAGGTGAGAGCGGCTGTAACCTGCTCCAGTCCCCCTTCTCCTCCTCCTCCCTCCCCCTCCCCCGTGTGTAGCTAATTGCTATGCTAATTACTTGTCTTAGAAATGCTGCGACCCAAACCCAGCAAGAACACTGAAGGGAGGGAAAATGTTTGTTTTGATTCATGGTTTTCAGAGGGTTCAGGCTCGTCACTTGACCCATGTGCCCCAGCATAGCATCACAGGAAGACTGCATGGCACAAGCTGTTCCCTTTGTATCTGGCTGGGGACCACATGGTCCCAAGGACCTTTCCCCAGTACCTACCTCTACCAGCTAAGTCCTACTTCCTGAGCTCTGTAGAACCTCACAGTAGGGCCACCAGCTTGGGACGTGAGCATTAGCCAGTGAGCCTGTTGGAAAAGAAGATTCCCCAGACTGTCACAAAACCGGGAGAGCCCCGCCTCTGCCACCTCCATTGCCAGTAGCTTCTGTCTGTGCTGCCTCTCACATTGCAGTGCATGCTGCTGCCCCTCTGAAGCGCCCCTTCTGCAGAGCCAGAACAGCAGGCAGCCTCCACCCTCCCATGGGAGGTAGCTGAGATGTGCAGGGCTCCATGGAGGCAGCCTTCCCCCAGGCCTGAACGGCCAGTACAGAGATCCAGGTGTGTTCCGGGGTGGGTGGTGCAGTGGTCCTAGAACACAGAGTTGTGCACACGGACCTCTCCACACCCCTCATAGCCCGAGAACTGTCCACTGTCCTGCTGCCTGCGGCTTTTTCGTGATGCAGATCCAGCCTTTGTCCTAGTTCACTGCGCTCTCAGACTGGATCCTGAATGCTGGTGCCCTCTGCTGTCCCTCATCCCTTCTCTTTCTTCCCAGGCTCCCTCCACTCCAGCCTGAGGGGATTTAAGAGTTCCTTCTCTGTCAGATTAGCAGATTAGCTGGGAAATGTCATTTGACATAGTTGGCACTGGCTTACTTCCCTCCAAGGTCTGTGTCCTGAATCTCTCAAAGGACAGTCTTGAGCCTCACATGTGTCTCAAGTCACAGTCCAGAGCTAATTACTCTCTTGGTTATACAAACTACTGACTTTACAAAGGATAATACCAGTGTGGCATAGGTAGGTGTTGAGAGGACACTCAGTGCTGTCCTCCACTGCCTACCTGCCTCCTGGGGGGTAGCCACGGGGATAACGTCACCCAGCAGGTGGCGAGAGGAAGACAGGTTTTCCACAGAGCAGACAGATGCAGGAGAGCCTTTTCCATTAACATTGTCCCCACTTTTTCACACACGTAGTCTTCTCATCCTGCCCCAGGATATAATAATAATAAATAAAGTAATGACAATAGTAAACCCTCTTCCCAAGCCACAGGGGCCATGGTGACTTTTTTTTTCTGGGAAACCCAAATGCAGAAGAAACAATGCAAAGGTTTTAACCAAACAATAACAACTGTGTGTCGGGTGGTAGGGGTGCACACCTTTAGTCCCAGCACCCAGGAGGCAGAGGCAGGCCGATCCCTGTGAGTTCCAGGCCAGCCTGATCTACAAAGCAAGTCCCAGGACAGCCAGGGCTACACAGAGAAACCCTGCCTCGGGGAGGGGGGAAAAGTGCCATCTTCATGGAATTTCGCGAGTGTTGTAGGAAAAGCTGTAGGCCTGGCGGTGCCCAGAGGAAGGGAGTTGATGCTCCCACAGAAGTTAATTACCCTCATGTGTAACACATCTGATGCTTTCCATGAAAAGAAAAACGGAACACCCACTGTGCTCACGTCTGAGAAAGCTTTACAAGTCTCATCAGCCCAAACTCCACCTCCCACCAGAGTGAGGGTCCTGCCCTTCTCTCTTCAGCTCCAAGTAACTGGTAGTTGTCGTGGTGCAAAGGACACATCTGTGCAAAAAACGTTCCTTAGTGGTCGGTTTCCACCCAGAGAAGTGTGCTGTGTCCAGGAAATACAATGACACTGTGGACAAACCTACTCACAGTTTCGTTTCCTTGTTTGAAATGACTGCAGATCCTGGCCAACTTGGAGCAAGGCTTAGCTGAAGACGGTGGCCTGAGCAATGTCACCCAGGAGAGCAGACAAGGTGAGCAGTCCCCTTCTGTTCACACTCTCGGGTGTGTGAGACTCGACCCTACAGGTGGGCCTCGCTGTGCTGTAGAAGGACCCTGGGTAGATGAGGGGGAGAATACAGGTTTAACCCAAAATATAAGAGGGTTCTGAGAATGGCCCCACCCAGCCATTGGTGCCCTAGGGACTTCCCATTTGCCTAGAGAGATTCTCAGGGCAGGAGGGAGCCATAGTGTATGGTCAGTGGCTGAGCATCCTGATCTTTCATGGTGTCTTAGAAATCACCTATGGACACATGGTGGACTGCATGGGCAGATCTGCCTCTGAGAAGGTCGTATCCCCGCCGTTTCCTTCTGCTATAATGAAACACCCAAATCTGGTTCATTTATAAGGAAGAAAATTGTATTAGGCTCGCAGTTCTGGAGTCTGGGACATGCATGAGTCGATACTGGCCTGTAGCACGGTCTGCAGCATTGTAGCAGGAAGTAACCATCACATGACTCTTTTTAAACCAACAATGCCATTGGTAAGGCCTCGCCTCAGGACTTTCCCAGTGCCCTCCCAAAGACCCCCACTTCAAATACATCAACATGTGACTTTAGGTTATATCCTCAATACGTGAACTTGTGTGCATGTTCCTACTGCTGAGCATGCTAGCAAAGAGCCAGTTCCTTTGAAAAGGTTTATGACTCCCTGGGGTTGAAGGGCCATGTGTGTTTGTGTGCCGTGTAGGTGTTTGTGTGTTTGTGTGCCGTGTAGGTGATATGTGGTATGTGCGCATGTGATTTGGGATGTGTATGAGTGCATTTACATGGATATAGCCTGTTGGTAACAAGGCTGAAACCCAGAGGCATGAATGTGTCGGCTTGCCCTCGTTGATGCAAGCAGCATAGTCCCCAACTCAGCCCGTACTCCTGATGACCTCACAGCCCCTCCGTGTGGCTGTCCACTCACATCAGATATCTATGAAGGGACCTAAGAAGAAATGGTCAGTGAAGGTTCAGACCAGGTGATGGCTGATACCAGAAGTGAGCAGAGATCTACAGTTCACATGTCTGCTGCCTGGCAGCCATGACACTGGCCTTGTCCTGTCTGCAAGCGGGGGTGCTTCTCTCCTTCCTTTCACCCAGCCCTTTGGGGTTCACTGCTGGTGTCAGCAAAGCCTGTGAAGAAGGCAGACCAGCATTGTTCCCATCTGAGACTAAAGGCCTGGGGAAGTGGTCAGTTTCAGGCCAAAACAACCACGAAGGCTTGACCTCTGCAGAGCCTGCTCTTCCATAGCCAATGGACATAAGCAGGGATGTGTGCATGGGTCAGCCTCCACCCTGGCCAGCATGTCTGCATCAGGCATGCTCGTAGGCTTAGGGTTCTGGCATAGAGCGGGCTCACCTGTGCTGCACCTGTACAGGTGGTCCCATGAGAGCCCACTCTGACCCCTTTCTATCTTCTGTCTCCAATGCTCCATACAGTGATTAAAGACATTCTGGCGAACCTGGTAGGGTTAGGCTGTGGGGAGGGAGGAGGGTGAAATCAGTAAACAGGGTGCAGCAGTTCCTAGCTTGCCCAAGCATGCTCACGCACTCTCTCTCCTCTCCCCTGCAGCCTCTGTTCAGCTGTGGAGGTCGCGACTGGGCCGCGTGCTGTATTCCATGGCAAACTGTCTGCTCCTGATGAAGGTATGTGGGCAGTTGAGCTGTAGCGCACCTTGCTCTAGAAGACAGTGTCATCAGGAAGCTGCAGGGAAGTCTGTGCTCCCGCAGGCCTGACGAGGACGTGGGCTGCGGGCCTCAGCAGTGTTCAGCATGACCTAGATTGCTCAGTAGAGTTCACTCACACTTGGGGGCCAAACTTGTCATTTTGAAATTCCACAGAAAATGGTTTATGTTACTGGATTTAATTGAGCAGACCTAGGTCTAAGTGGTCTAATTAAAGCTGCTCATTCCACCCCTTTTCCTCTGAACTGCATCCAGAAAGCGTCCTTTGTTCTGGCTTTAGTGTGAGGGTCATTTTTTGTTTGTTTTAGTGATTGATGGTTTTGACATCTGAAGGCAGGCTTTCCCACCAGACCCCCTTGTAAGGGGGTCACCTAAACTTTCCCCGAGGAGCCAGCGTGAATCAGGGAACCCAACCGAGCCATCAGACACTGTGTCTATTCTCCACACAGGCCCTGCCAGCACAGGCAGCCATGTTTCTCTCTCATCTCAAGTACGTCCCATGCCTGGCTTGCCTCCTGCCCTGGGCACGGGTGGCCTGCCACAGAGCTGGCGGCCTTGCTGCCAGCTGCAGGCACCAAAGCTGCCGCAGAATCTGTCAGCAGCAGACGCCCGGAGCCATTAACACCTTCTGAGCTATGGTGAGACAGCTCATCACTCCTCCCACGGCCAAGGTCATCCTGCTCTGGCTGAGCATTCGTCAGTGGGCACCTTACCAAGTGGAGAAATGCGCGCCTCCATGCGGCCATGTCCTTGGTTTGGGCAGGAAAAAGTGTGTGGCCACAGTCCAGCTATAGGACAGCGTGCATCCTCTGCACCTCTGTGATGTGCGACATTGAGTGTAGACAGACAGGCCAGGCTCATCCTCTGGTAGGTGACCTTGACATGGGAAGGATGGGTGTCCTAAAATCTCTCCCAGCTCTGGTTCTCACAGCCTTTTCCTACTTTCTAACTCGTTAGTTTTCAGAAGTTCTGTGTCTAACGTTTGCACAGGGCCTGTTGCCTATAGAGCCACTCTCACTGCTCTCATCCGTCCTCTTCCCTCATGACATCATTGCAGAGCCTGCCCCACCCCCATGTGCTGCAGCCTCTGCCTCAATACTGCTGTGGCCAGGGGCAAGCATCACCTGAAAGTCTCAGAGTCTTGGTTGCCAGGCATCGTTAGGCATGCAGCAGTGGGTTGCCCAACCATAAGCTGGAGATCCTCAGAGAAGGAAGTCCCTGCTTTGATGTCGGGCATTCAGCTGCTTGCATTTCTGAGATGCTCGGCTAGAAAACCACGGAACAAAAATGCTTTCCTTTGTTCTCCTGCACCGGTGATAGTGCCATCAACACGGGCACAAACGTCTGTCTGTGTCACCCCACTACTCCGGACTTCAGTATAGGACACTTCATGTTTCAAAAATGATTTCATAGTGGATGTAATTTAAGTTAAAAGTTCAGTTTAATTTTTATTTTCATGAGTTAAAGGAGTGAAAGAAAGGTTTAAGTAGAGTGGATGCAAGCATATGCACTCTTCTGCCATCTAGTGGGCACAACCAGTATTGCCGCGGTGGCTGGGCCGCTGCGCTGGGGCCTGTGTGCTGGCTAACAGCCTTTTAATGATAAGAAATTTGGTTATATGTTCCAGTTCTGAGTATCCCACAATACGTTGTGCGGGACCTTGCTTGCAAGACAAAGCCCTCTGTAAACACGACTGGGGTGGATCTGTATGGTGCTGCAGCCTCCCTTGGCCACTCCCTAGCTCCACATCCCCAGACCTCCCACACCCGTTGAGGCACACAGGCTGCCTCCTCCTTGCTCAGGTCACACTATGTGACGCCTTCAGTGGGGAAAGGCCACTAATGCGGCTCAGCTGTCATTCCCCCAGTGTTATTGCTGACAGGTCAGGCTAGAATACTTTTGCCCGTGCATGGGCATCTGTATGTCTTTTCAAGGGGCATGGTCAGAAGAGTAGATTGGGCACTCTGAGAAGCTGTTGTTGGCCTCGTTGCTTTAAAGAGACCCTCCAGGCTCCAGGGATTGAGTGAGTTCACCTGCTCGCAACCCACTGGAAAGTACCCTCCTCTAGCAGTCACGCCCTAACCACTGAGGCTTGTTGACATCTGCAAACATTTACCTCTGCCCTGCTTGCTGATCCCTTCTCTGCTGGGTCTACCCTGCTTTCCCAGGAGAGCAATAAAATCCCTTTAAGACTGGACATGCACACCTTTAATCCAAACACTTGGGAGGCAGAGGCAGGGGGATCTTTGAGAATTCAAGACCAGTGTGGTCTGCATCACTACAGGCCATGCAGAGATACACAGTAGATAGATAGATAGATAGATAGATAGATAGATAGATAGATAGATAGATAGATAGATAGATAGATAATCTGTAACAGGTATATTCAGGTATATTTAGGCCTGTTTCTTTCCTGCCGGGCCATCCTCAGTAGCATGAACCCCTGACTCTAGGCATGTTTGGAAGGCAGTAATGTCAGTCAAAAAACCTAGGATTCCAGCAGGGCTGGTTACCCAGGCATACTGGCCTTCCTACCCTGGCCCTGCCCACAGCTGTCTGTCAGATGCATCAAGATCAAAACGGAGCACAGGTCACGAAAGCATGTGATCAGGTGCAGCCCCATGACTTGGAGCTGGTGACACTCAGCACAGTCATGTGCTGCACCCAAATGTGAGGGTGCAGTCAGGTTAGAGGGGGGACAATGGCACGGAGCTTAGGGGCCATGACTCTCCTGAGGGAAGTAAAACTGGTTGCTGCTCATGTGTGGAGCGGCCAGAGCCCAGGACAGTAGTCTGAAAGCAGGTCCCCCAGCCACACGAGGATGACATGGTCTCCCAGCCATATCCCTGGCTTCCAGAATGTGCGGTGCCATCACAAGCACCAGACACAGATGCCCCTGCACACGAGCACAAGTGCTCCTGCTGGCGCAGCTCTAAGTAAGGCAGCCTGGCTGCGGGCTGCATTGGTGTGGTGTGAGAGGAAGTCAAGACACGTGGGCTCTGGCTCCTTGTGAGCATCAGGCCTTGAATAAAATTAGTTTTAACGAGCTGTACTTGAAGGTACCAGACTGGAGAGTCTTCTTTTTTTCTTCCCCCTGCCAAACTGGAATTTTGTTCGTCGTCTGTCTTTTAACCTCCCAATTAGCAAGCTCAGTAACTGAAGTCCCAGTTTGGAGGAAACAAAGTTTAGAATACAGAATGAAATACCTTCCCGGATCTTACAGTTAGGAGAAAATCAGCAGTGGTGACCCTGGGCTGGTGACTGTGAGCCGGAACTGAGAGGAAGTAAGTGTTCAGCACAGTTCACAGCACAAAGCTTGCTCCAGTACCTGGCTACTGAGGATGCCAGAGGAGCTGACCTCTGGACCTTGTGATAGGCGGCACCTGACTCTCTGAGACCAGGTCTCAGACCTTTTACTACTGTAGGCCAAGAGTGGGAAATGGGCACTGTGTCGGTGGTTGCCTCAAGGAGAGCTGCAAGCAGGGTTGGCGTGTGGCCACGATCGGAAGGTGCACACAGCTAGACCACATGAGACAAAGGCTGTGCAGATTGCAGACCCCAAGCTGCAGCACATCGGGGCCTCTGTGCACTTGTCGTTCCTGTAGAGCAGCGTGACTGCTCGTGCGTTATAGGAAGCAGTGACAGCCGTATGCCCTCACTGTCATCACGAAGGCTATTGGCAGGCTTTGTTTCAAAACAGATATTTCACCTCAGTGTCTAGCACAGAAAATGTCTGAGACCTTTGAGAATGTGGCTTATATGTCTGGAGGATGGGATGGTGCAGAACCACAAGTCCTTACAACAACTCTGCCAGAAAGAGCTAGGGACCCAACGTGGAGGCTCCTGGCTTCTGCATAGGTGGGAGCAAGAAGCAGCCTGTGGACCTAACTCTAGGTCCAGAGCCTCTGTGATGACAGCAGGGATGTGTGTCACACAGAACTCAGCCCATCACCATGAAGGAAGGGGTCCTGCGGCAGCCTGCCACCTCCACAGCTGTCTGTGTGCACGCCCTTGGTCTGTAACGCTCAGGGAACAGCTGTACAGCGTCTCCAGCTCACAGCATACTCTTGGTCTCTTGCCACAGGACTACGTGCTGGCCGTCGACGCTTACCGCGCAGTGATCAAGTACTACCCGGAGCAGGAGCCGCAGCTGCTGAGTGGCATTGGCCGCATCCTCCTCCAGGTAACTGCTGGCAGCTGAGCAGGGCGGCTGTGATCCAGAAGGGCTGCCAGGAAACTCTGTCCTCAGAGCTGACAGAGAAGGAGCTGTAAGGCAATGTTTCAGTTCAAATGAACATGACCTGAGTTAAGGTGTCCTTTGTTAAGGTGTCTGTTGTGTGGTGTTCTGTCCACTTGCAGCCAGGGACATCTGCCAAACTGCAGCTGCTCTGTTGAGGGAACACTCAAAACACTCAAGTGCACCCTGTCACAGTGGCTGCTGCAGTAACCCAGAGACTCAGCCACCCTCGGCAAGGCTCTCTAGTGTTTGGCATGTCTTCCTGTTGGTTCCAGGGTCATGATCTCACACTGCAGGCTGCCCAGCATATGGACCCTGTGTGTCCGTCTCTTGAGAGCCTCTGAATGTGGGAGAGGCAGCTGGGTGAGGGACAGCTTATGGCAAGAGGAGAAAGAGCCAACCCACACAGGCGCATGGTCACAGGAGTGAAGTACTCTGCGCTCCTGACCTCACAGTTAGCCGCCACATCTGAACAGCAGCTCTGCCTCTTCCTGACACCGGGAGTCTAGAACTCCCAGGTACCACATCCTGCGTCCTGACTCCTTAGCAAGGCCCTCCTGCCTGGATGACCCAGGACACAAGAGGGAACGCTGGAATTTGATAGTTTGGAGGTCGGGACAG